AATTATACATCGACATGAAAGCAATAGACAAAAACTAAAAATCCTTGAAGCATTATACATCAAACAGTTGAAACCCAACCTAAACAAAATCAATTATGTCATCTCTACAAATATTCCTAAATGTCTATAATTGGTAACAGAAGCCATTGGTTTATACCAACGGCTTTCCATACTTCATACTTCTCCAATTCACTCTGGTGTGGTCATGTGTGACGTCATGAGATGCGGTGCTATTTTCGCTTCTAGCGTCTTATATGCACGTGTTTATCGTTGCTTAGAAATCATCTATGTAAACAATGACAGACTATCATCACTGCCTTGTCCGTATATTGCTAAATATGTTGTAATTGACATGTTTGATAATGTCTTATGTAAGCCGAAAGATTAGATCGTTTTAAAAAAAATATGGATCAATTTTGTGAATTTCTTTCTTCGTTCAACGATAATGCTATTAAACTTATCAGACGTTATGAAAAAAATATACATAAAATAAATAGACAGCACTTGTCTATATTATTTATTGAAACATATATGAATATATATATATATATATATATATATATATATATATATATATATAGTGGGGGAACAAATATTCGTGCACATACAAATTTTTAATTCAGATTCCTGTTTAAAGAAAAATCATCCTGCAACTCTTGACGAGTAACCATTGAATTTTGTTTTATGTATCTGTGTACAGTTAGTTATATGAAAAGTATGTTTATACATTAGTTGGAAATACAATAAATAAAAAAATTATACGTGTACTAATATTTGTTTCCTTTCACTATATATGTATATCTTTCGATAAATATATAGAAAAGAATATCAGGTGAGAATAACGCGATTATATATAGGGAGATACTCATGGAACACATTCACTTTTTTTAGTATTTAATAATGGTCGGCCGCTCATATCAGACAACGCATGACTTCAAGATCGGCTAGCCAATCCTTGTTGCAGACGCCTGATTAGGCAGATTTTGTTTTTATTCAATAAAGCAGAGAGCCCACCTGCGGTTTTATACTGAACTATGCTGAGCGTACCTTAGTTACAGTTTCCGGGAGAAAGCTTGATTATCTGATGTGATCAATACTCGGAACAAGGCGAGCAGGGTCAAACCCTCGGTCACGATGACTTCTGACTTTGTGCTAGCACAATCACCGACGGCTCCCAAAGTGCTCCGTCGAGCCAATTTCACTCACAAAACTTGGGAAAAAACATGGTATAGTTTTCAGGCACTTTCTAAAGAAGCCGGGCGCTGGGATCACCTCCCCAAGACTGATAGCACCAAGGAATCACTTTCCTGACAAATCGACAAAGGTGAGATTCGTACCCGGGTTTCATGGTCAGAAAGCGTACGTGTCCTAATTATTTACATAAGCACAAATTATGAAGTATGTCTGAAACACGACAGTACTAAAATGTTCTTAGTCTGATTCACAAAATCAATATTTCAATAGCCAAACAAGAGAAGACTAATTTTGGGAAGTGGGTCGGACTGAAAAGCTTTTAATCCGCCATCATTTTTTTCACTGTCGTCTGCATTGGCAGGATTGCAAGGAAGTAAATATGACTTTCATTAATAACCAATCCGCAAGTTTTAATTACTGTTTTTGTTTTCGTTTCTATATATTTGTGTGGTTTCCCATAAAAAAGATCAAATAAACTTTAATTATTGTTCGCAATTTTTTATTTTATACTCTGACCACCATTTCACTCTACTGATTAACTCTGACTTTTCTATAAATCTAGTATGAATACTCCACAAATGTCGACTATCAATACAGACATTTTGGGAATGCAGAATAATAAAAAACGAAAAGGACTTTTCATGATACATAACTATATATATATATATATATATATTATCACCTGTTCCATTGAAACATGCAAGTTAACACGACAAAGATGCATATTTGTTTCGACGTCTAAAGACATCTCATTAAGTAGTTATCGATTTTATCTAAAAATAAACGATTTTATTTAAAAATACAATTTATGAAACATCACTTCTTTTGAAAATTTCCCATAGAAGACAAAGAAACAAATATATAAAAATATTATTTCCATCAAGGAAAAAGAAGATAGAAAGAAGCAGATGAAAGTAAAAAAAAAGAATGAAGAAAATAAAAATCAATACGAAGAATATGAAAGAGGAAAGAAAAGGAAGGTATAAGAAAGCATTAGAAATCAACCCTAAAAAATTATATATATATATATATATATATATATATATATATATATATATATATATATATATATATATATATGTACACACACACACACACACACACACACACACACACACACACATATATATATATATATGTATATTTCTTTTTATGGAAAATTTTCAAAAATGTAAAAAGAAGTGATGTTTCATATATCATATTTTTAAATAAAATCGTTAATTACTACCAATGTTAACCGCAATGACATCGAAAATAATATACATTTTTGTTACGGTAATTTGCATGTTTCAATGCAAAAGATCACAATAGATATCTATTGCTCTACCCTTGTATTGAGCACTTTTTAAAATTAATATTATGAACGTCTGAATTGATATTATTTTCGTTCTTTTACATTTGATATATATATATATATATATATATATATATATATATATATATATATATATATATATATATATATATATATATATGGGTGTCATTGTGTATTTGGGTAGCCATCGCTCCAATATACAAGTTTCTTTAAAAACTGTCTGTCAATGAATTGTGTTTAAGTTTTTTATTTGATTTTTCTCGTGTTTTTAGAATTTTCTTCATTTCTGGGCGTAAATTATGTAGAAATTGTCCGAATGTTCTGTATGTCCGAGCGCTTTCGGCTATTCTTTTAGCCATTATCAAAGGCGATTTTATTTTTAGATTTAACTGAATCTATGAAATACATAAATCAATACATTCAGTGCATGTGAAGACGTTCTCCCTTGATATCGCCTTGTTTTCTTTCCTTCGAAGACGCTTCTGTTTAACTCGCATCTACAGTGTGGCCTCTTCCCACCTCTCGATACCCATGCCCACCACCCTCATTGAGGTAAGCACCCAACACTGACATTATGCGTATACGCAGTCGTCAGGACATATGCATTGTTTTAGCTCGACTTTTTATATATATGGATCTTTAAAGGGATGTCTTTTCTAATACTTCTTTTTAGTACTGTTCAGTTATTGATCTCCTCGTTTCCACTGATTCTAAGTGGAAAGCCACACTACCCGATTCAGGGATTGAACGCAGCAAATTCACGAACCGACACTTTACTTCACTAAAATATTGTCCCGTAGGACAGATCACTGTAGTAAAATTTGTGTCTTAAACCAAACCTGCCTGCTGATTAATACTGGTGCTGATATTGCAAGTCATGTTTGACTGCTGCTGCTGCTGCTGCTGCTGCTGAAGACTTGCTATTTTGTTTGCCTTCTTTAAACACCTGATCAAGACCGGAGGCCACAACGGTCGAAACTTTGCGATATTAACAACAAAGATTGATCTATTCCCAAATATTTTAGTATATTGCTGCTCGGCTCAAATAAGGCGACTAACACACACCCATATATATATATATATATATATATATATATATATATATATATATATATATATATATATATATATATATATATATATATATATATAACAATCAATTTTTAAGACATTTTATGTTCATACATGATTGGTTAGCAAGGTCATTTACGTATAGGATACAGGTTCGATTCCTGTCGGAGGACGAATATTTTCTATGAAAATTACTCAGTCATTCAGGCATTGTTTAATACTGTTTATTAGAAACAGAGCATTTACTTAAAAGAATGTATAAACATACAAATTTCTTTATATATATATATATATATATATATATATATAACATCTTTATTATTCCAGTTGACGAATGTGTAGAGTGAGGGAGAATCATAGAGGTTAGGAGTGCGCACACAGGAATTGACGATTAACTTCTAGCCAGTCTCTCTGTCCAGATCAAGAATCGAACCAGTTTTATAACATTTGTACAGCCAGCCAACTTCACGTGGCTTACCCCTTCTTCCGGTGTGTCGCCTTCGCAACTTCGTGTGGCCAGGCCTCTTCTGGCATGCACCAACGCAACTTCGTGTGGTCACACGTCTTACAACATGCGCCCACACAATCATGCATTTCCTTCCGCTCAGTGCACCTGGGCGCCTTGTTTATTCAAGCTCAGGACACCTGTGGTAACTGTTTAGTTTAGCCACCGGATGCATTTCTTGTTTATGCAATCACCAGTTCCGATTTCCACTCACGCACTGATGCAGCGGAAGTAAGGTCAAAGGTCTTTCCTCAGCCAATATCCAAAAATATTGGCAGTGCGGATCTAACTTTTTAGTCTTGGTATGATCATACATTCTTTTGCACAGATGTGGCAACGTTAGGCACCTCTTTAAGTAGTTTAGCGAACTTTGCAATTTGGGCGTCTTTGACAATTCTTAAACGGCTGTCCTATTTAGACAGATGCGACAGCACTCATTACATCTTATATCAAATGCTGTGCCAACAGTCTAATGGAAATTTACCTCAAGACACTTGCGAACATCTCACTCTTCTCGTGTTATTTTAAAAGCGCCTCTTATCATTATGTATACATATATACATAGTGATATACATATGTGTCTGTGTGTATGGAAAATTGTGAGAGTTTAGTCTGCGTGTGCGTTTCTGCATAAATATTCGATTTTAATTCTAACTTGCGTGATTCATTATCAGACACGTGACATATTTATTTATTAACATACTCACTACTGTTACTGCTATGAAAAGAGTTTCGTGGGTACTGACCTTAATTCAGGTGGAGGGTGTACATAGCTAATTTCTTTTACAATTATGTATGGAAGCCCACAGGCACATATATTAATTATCCCTGCAAATGATGGCAATATATTTCTCTATATTTCATGCATATTATTGTGATTCTGCTTGCAGCCATCTCATTATATGTACATGTTACATGAATCTATGTATACCAATATCTGTTGTAAATTCCATTATAAACACGTTTTATTTTGGGGTTCGTCTTTCTCCTCTTTACCGGTCGATATCGCCACGGACTCTTTCCTACTTTCCGACACCCCTAACTCCAAAATTACTCCACATTGAAGTCTGTCCAAAGGTTTATTCCCGTCATCTGATCAATACATCGATTTATCTATCTCTACCCCTTCCCCGTTCCACTTACATCCCCCTAGTCTGAAATATATGGCCTCATTAGAGAAGAGGACTGTTTCCACAAGTTGATGCAATTTCGATTTTGGTTTCTCGTATTTCTTATGTCCAAGGACTAGAATCTTTAGTGAGTTGATGACATGAGATATCTATCTCGTCTCTCTTTCTCTGTGTGACTGATACTCTTGTTGTAATTGGATGCGCATGCGTGGGATGTTAAGCAGAAGAAGAAGAAGAAGAAGAAGAAGAAGAATTGATTGATTTGTTTTTTACGGCTTATCAATCCTTTGCAGGTTATTTAAAGCCAGAAAATATTTTTAGATTGTCAGAATCTTTTCTGAGATAATAATGATTTAGTGATACAAGTCATATTAATTAACCCATAGCTGGGTGGAGAAGAGGTGAATTTATACCTTTCCCAATGGTATTTGCGCGTAAGAAACACAACCTGAATTTGAACACTCTCCTATTAACAATTCTGAGCCATTATCCATTACACCAAATGCACATCCATCTTACAGCACCTGGTATTCTCAAGCGGTCACTCATCAGGTATTGACCAAGCTCGACGTTGCTGTCGTCTTACGAGAACCGGTGTTTCAGCATGAGATACCCGTAAACCCGAGAAAAAGAAAAATAATCTGGAAACAGTGGATGGCTAGGAAAAAGGCTTCAAAATTTGATGATCAGGATATGGTTCTTTGAAAAATGAATGAGTAGATGTCCCTTTTTCAATAATAAACTAACGATGTCGAATAAAGTGTTGCATAATAACAAAGAAAAAAAAAAGAATGGGACAGGTCCGGGTTTGGGATAAAATTCGATCGAATATAATGTCCGAGAAAGGGTCACAATATATGTTATATGTCGAACAATAAAAGGAACAACAGTGAGATGAAGAAGATGCGATCAAGGGTTTCGAAGCAAAAGATCGAATTTTGCACATAAAAGGGCGATGAAATAAGCATAGAAGCAAAGAGAGAAGCAAGTGGGAGTAAGAGAGAAAGTGAAAATGAAGTGGGCGGAGGAGGAAAGAGGGGCGAGCGAAGGGGCGAACTCAATCGAATGAGTGAAAACCTGTAGCGGTGGGAGAGAGAAAAATAACATCGATATTACAGATGTAATGGAAATACTATATAACATATTCATAGCACAAGAGAGAGAAAAAAAGATTTGTTTTAACCAGATAATGACCACCGCCCCGTTTTTCAAACGTTGTACATTAATAGATTATCTTTAGAAATATGTAATAGCAGATTCTTTTATAAACCTACAATTAATAGTTTTTGGAAAGCATCTTGCGTCTTCGGATTTCCGTACTCTCTTAAAACATTCTTGTCCCTTTCAGGACGTAGGCGATCATAGTCTCCACATCTTCCTGTCCCTTGTCGCAATTAATACGCTTTGCTCTTTTTGTTATTTCTCCTAAACTCTGTTCTTCCATCGTCTGTATCTTTTTCCATCAATCTGTCTTGTGGGTATCAGATTTTCTAAGCCCCACCTCCCCATTACTTGCCCTAGGAATTTCAGCTGCCTCTTCCTGTTGTTAAGTAGTGATTTTCCAAGCGTAGCTTAGATGTGGCACAAGGCCGAAAGTATGGGGCACCCAGTGAGGAGCGAACTCAATACTCAGTCGTAATTGTTTTAGCGAGACAAGCTTGCTAACCATTACACCACCTCGAAGCGCCCCTTCCTGATGTTGAGTATCAATCAGTCATGTGCCATGCGTGATACACGCTTAGGCGATCATGTATCTTTCGATACATGACTGACGAGGCAGATTTTATGTTGCCATTTCTTTCTGCGATAGACCAGTTGCCATCCAAGTCTGTCCTGCTATTTACCCATAGGTGGGGGTGAGAAGAAGATTCTACCTTCCCAAGGGTATTAACACGTAAGTGAATGTAATGGATTCGACTGGAATTCGAACGCGGCTCTCCGATTCCCCAATCCGAGCCGCTGTCTATTACTCCACCGTGCCTCTTAAGTATAAGTTTCCTTTTTGTTTTCATTTTCTTCAAAGCCTCGTTGTTGCTCACATGTTCGATCCATGATATCCGCAACATCTTTCTGAATAACAAAATAATATTTGTACTTGCATTTCTTGTTACCAATTAAAAGAGATTCCTTTGCATTTTGACTCTAGGCCAATTATTGAGCTTGCGCATACAACTGCAAAAGGTTTTCTGTACAACCGCAATACTAAGAAAACGTAAAAGGTATTGATATTTCAGCAGAATTGGAAGAGTATTGAACCATAAATAGGACCTTTATTAATTCTGGCCGTCAATAATATTAGAGATTTCTGAAGGGTACTGAAATGTCGCTTATGTTCTTGCCTTCTTTGGCAGACAGAAATAAAACCTGCTAAATTTTAGGTCCTGAAAGCAAGAGGATAGCTATCATACACAAAACCACTTATGGAAGCTTTCTTATACTGAAACAGTACTGATACATAGGTTATGTTTTTGCCTGTTTTAAGAGACTGAAATGAACCCTACTAAATTTAAGTTTTTAAATCAAGAGATTAGCTATCATGTACCGAACCACTTATGAGAGCTTATTTTTGCAATATCTTTGTTTTAGATTCGTTTAATTGTTTACTGTTTTTAATTGTTGCAATAAATTTTTTTGGTCTTCATTATTTTACGTCTAAGTTTCTGTAATATATTTTATTGGAATCGATACAAATGGATTTGTTTACTGACGTTGCCCCCACCAAAAAAAATAAACAAAAACGTACGCCTAGTTTATCCACCCCCCTCCACACTAAAAGTAAACTGATTGCATTAGATTAGAAGCGTCTTTAAAACTGGTGCATCTCCGATACAGGAAGATATCGCATATCTTACTTATTATAAAACGCAGATTGTGTGTGTGTGTGTGTGTGTGTGTGTGTAACGTTTATATATTGCATCGGATTTCCTACATTTTTCAACCGATTTCAATAAAACTTCACAGGACTACATAAAATTACCTTGTGGTGGTTCTAACAGCGCCAAAAATGGGAAAAATATTATTGTTTTTGCACAAAATCAATTTGAAAACACGATTAAGAGACATCGTGAAAATGGAAGGGGGACAACTCACATCGGATTTCCTATATTTTTCAGCCGATAAAACAAAACTTCACTTTTTTTTTTTTTGGCAGATAGTGTTTCTTATTCTCTTGCACACTTTTTTCTTTATTTTTAACATTCAGAATGCTTTAAAAATTCCATTTACAAGACAATTAATTGTAATAAAATTCTATTCAATTGGGAGACTCATAACGATTGAAAACAATGTTTTTGCTTGAGTTTGGGTTTGACCAATTCGTAAAAAAAAAAAAAAATAAAAACTAATTAAGACATGCGTGTCCGTCAACCTTAAACAATAATCTAACGATCTCTACTGATTGTATGAATACAAACATCGGAATAAATTCTTTATCTTTAGGGAAAGATAATGAAATCTAAACATACACAAGTCCTAACTAAAAATAATAACCGGAACAGGAAACTACTTTAAATACACATGGTGTCCAATTTTTTACTGTATTCAATAAGTAAAAATCATAAATTGTAAAAGATTATTATTACAGAAAGGCTACTAAATGAATAAGATTTGTTAGATCATATTTAATAAACCCAAATAAAGTTAATATTTTTTGTATTTGAAACAACGAGTGGAAAATATATTCAAATCAGAATTCTAATTATGAATCACCACAATCAAAATATGCAATTTTTTTTACTATATTCAATAAGTAAAAATCATAAATTGTAAAACTAAAAGATTACAGAAAAACTATCTACATTTTTCAACCGATTTCAACAAAACTTCACTTTTTCTTTTGGCATGTAGTGTTTCTTATTGTCTTGCACACTTTTTTCTTTATTTCAACATTCAGAATGCTTTAAAAATTCCATTTACAAGAAAATTGTTTATAATAAAATTTATTCAATCGGTAGACTCATAACGATTGAAAACAATGTTTTTGTTTGAGTTTGGGTTTGAACAATTCGTAAAAAAAAAAAAACTAATTAAGACATGCGTGTCCGTCAACCTTAAACAATAATCTTTGTCAATTTTATTTTTCATTCTTTATGATGGTCGATACTTGATCTATCTCTTACTGTTATATCCCCGGGCAACGCCGGGCTCTACTGCTAGCTACTTTTATATACGAGGTGGCTTTAAAAGGTTGAGAGAATTTGACCGTGAAAAAATTAGACTAACAGTCGCTCTCTAACGTCATCTAAAAATAATACCTTTGGGTTATTTGCATATTACTATTCACAAAGAAGGAGGCACGGTGGGGTAATGAATAGAGGTTCGAATTCCAATCGAATCCATTACATTCACTTACATGCTAATACCCTTGGGAAAGGTATGAATCCTCTTCTTCTCCCTCCTAGCTATGCGTAAATAGCAGGACAGACCGAACTCTATAACCTTGGATGACAACTGGTCTACCGCAGAAAGAAATGGTAACCTACTGCGGGAAAAAATCTGCCTCGTCAGTCATGTACCGAGAGATATATGATCACCTAACCGTGTATCACTCATGGCACATAACTGACTGAATCACAAAGAGTTGAGGAAAGATTTCCTCGCAATTCAAAATACAAGAATTTTGAGCATTACCCCACAGATGTGTAATCTATATTATATATCCAATATGTATTAATTATTGCATTTGCACTGAATAATATACACTGTGTATATTTTCGGACTGCTGTCCTCATTTTTATTGTCATAATCACGAAGTTTCGGGCGTTGTACGTTTCGGCCTTCTTCAGGTAATATATGCTGGAATTTGGAATCGAAGTCTTTATTGCGTCCACTGGGGTAGATTGTACTAGTTCCACGTGCCATACCGTTTCTAGATATCTCAGTTTTAGTTATTTCCCTTTAGTGATTCGAATTTTTGTGGTCAGGATTGAACTCACAACTCTTTGGTTCAAGTCACTTCAACCAACGCTTTTATCCAATGTCTTACTGGTCTCTATTGTATTCATATCTATGCTTGGACGGCTTAGGAGCTTTTTGTGACTTAGCATATGCGCTGATTCTGAAAGTTTTCGTATTTTCCAGTAATATTCCCTGTCTTTTATTTTAACCTCATCCAACAGAGGGCGGTGATCTCCGTTTTTCCTCCATATATGGTCTGAATAATATGTTGAACAT